TTTATGTTAGTAAACTCATAAAAACTTTAAATAATGTCATGAACCATCACATAATTACATGAATGATAATTGTATTTTATTAATGTCATCGTTTTTTTTCTCATAGAGATTTATACTCGCCAAATTTTATACAGTATCAACTTAATAGTAAATATAATAGTATTATTATTTTTTAGCTTATATAAAATTTCAATATATACAGTTGAAGAGTATCACTCGCATCATAGGTCAAAAATTTTCATTTTCTTTGTGATATTTTGGAACTCTATATTGAAGATTTTATTTTTGTTTTACTTTTGCAGGGTTGTATATATTTTAAACTTTTAAATTGAGGGTTCTATAACCTTATAAATTTTATTTTTCCAATTTATATACCTTATTTTTTTTATCATTCGTATTTTTATTTATTTCAATTGAGCTTTTTATACTATGTGTATTATTTGTTTATTTTTATGGCTTCTGTAATGTTTATATGTTATGCTTTTATTAGCAAATTCACACTTATAAATATGATATTTTCTTTTGTCTTTAATTATTTAGATAATTTATAATGGAAAGAATGTATTTTGTAATATAAAAATTTAGAGATATTACATATTTTAGTAGAACGGTTTTTTTCCTTTTTCTTAATTAGTCTCTAACCTTTGTTTAGAATATATTTCTTTCTTTTTTTGTTAATATTGGAAATATTACATCGTTTAGTAGAACGGTTTTTTTTCTTTTTTTTAATTAGTCTATAATCATTGTTTAGAATATATTCCTTCATTTTTTTAAACATTTTTGTTAATATTAACACATGTCATAATCTAAATTAACAATTACACATGTCACGATCTGGTGCTTAAGAATTTTGCCTACGTGCAAACTCTCATCGCACGCATTCTCCTTTATATAATAAGATATGCCCCTATTTAATTATTTTCTTGACACCTCTAAATGATTCGTAAAAAAGTCAAGGTTCAGTTGGTCAGTATATGTATTTATTGTGTGCATTGAACAAAAAGAGAAAAAAGTAGATGAGTTTGAAAGTGGTTAGTCCTTACGCTTTGGTGGCCGCGTAGATGGCGTAGAGAGGATGAGAAGGGACAACAACGGCGGCGCCGGAGCTAATATTGACGATTGCTCCTCGGCGGCGGTGAAGCATTTGTCCGATGAGAGATCGTGTAACCCAAGTGGTGGCTTCAAGATTAACCCTGAGAATGTTGGTCCATGTGAGTTGGTCAACCTCGTGGAAGAACATGGCTCGTGGATAAGTTATCCCAACATTGTTTATCAGAATCCCAACTTCAACGCCTTTGATACCCTCCTCGATTGCCCCATATCCTCCTTCTGCACAATTTTTCTTTCTTTCTTTCATTTTCTCGTAAAGACATCTTTCATATATTTCTATATTAACCCTGTTACATTCCTTGCTTATCGTTTTTGTCGACGGATATTAGCTTAAAATCAAGTTAACCATTTGAAAACGATTTTGCCATCGCAAATAAAATTCTAGAATTTGCCTTCAGTAAACTAATTCTATACAAATTCATAAATATATATCAAATAAAACATTAATACTAGGTACGCAATCTGGTTTAAAAATTTCCAAATGCTAATTATAATATAAACACTTTTGAGAAACTACTCCCTCCGTTTTGCCAACTTTGAATTCTAATAAAACCTCTCGCATTGATTTCTTATTTTCTTAGTACTACTTATGAACCTAACATGATACGCCTTCCTAATCTGTCGGGTCCAATGGAGCAATAATAGATATTTCTGATAGGTTTTTCGGATATCATAATAGTTTGTTTATAATAATCTTAATCTATTAATTTAAAAAAAAAAAATCTTAATCTATTATTTATTTTTTTTGGTCGGAAAATCTTAATCTATTGTATTGGTTTCAGTTAGTGTTTTAGAACATAAATACTCTTAGGTTCCAAATTAGGGTCCAGTAAATACTCTTTATGTTCAAAATTTTACTAGAATTCGAAATAATTAACAGAAATATCCTGGCCCTACTATAACAAATTCCTTCTTCTTTTTTTCAACATTTGCACAAACACATAATAAATGTAAGCTGCAAGTTGAGTTTGTGTTCTAGTTATGTTGTTTTTAGAATTATTAATTTATAGGACATATTATAAATGTAAGCTGACCAATTACTTTTTGTTTTGGGAAATTAGCATGGATAACTATAAAAAAAAATCATATCTAATAATAATCTAAGAAAAAGTACATATGTGGCCAATTCCTAATCACTAAAATTAGGGTTTTTAGTTAGAATATTAGATAGTTTTTTTTTTTAGTTATATCACCAATTGACCCTCTTTTTTTTTTGCTATTCTTTGAATTATATAAACCATTCTTTAGTTATATACTTATATCTGCGAATTTCTCGTATTTATATTAAATATCTTTTTACTTTTTGAGAAAATAATAGTTTTTCAAAGGGTCTTTTTGGTGTATAACAAAAAAAGAAAAAATTAAAAAGTTAGAAAAAATGGAGTTTGTGACAAAATATAAACCATTGGATTTAGAGTTTTTAGTTACTTTTTAAATTATAATTTTTTTTGTTTTTTCTTAGCAAATTATCCCTTACAATCAAGGAGTTACAATCAAGGAGTAGTATTTACATGTAAACACTCAATAACTATATAGAGACAAGTTCTATAGGATTGACCAAAAGTAAGAGAGTGCATTAACTATTACCGGAGGAGAAGTCAAAGGGAATGATGTTGATCTTGATGTCGGGAAACTCTTGTCGGATATCATCGGAGACAGAAGCGAGCTTCGAAGGGTTTCTGCTGACTAGGATGAGGTTAAGGCCGTGTTTGGCCAGCTCGTGAGCAAAGGCGCGTCCGATCCCGTCGGTGGCTCCAGTGACCATAGCCCACGAGCCGTAACGCGTCAGCCGCTTGGGGTCTGTGAGGAGGAATCTCGTGTTGAACCATTTCAGGAGAGGAAAGAATATTCCAAGGAGAGACAGAAAGCCTATGAAGCTTACGCCATGGAGATGCCATGGCTGATTCTCGGAGATGCATGCTCTCTGCATGTTCT